CATTATGCAGAAACAGTTCATATACATGGCTATGAAGAAAGAATGATGGGACAAAACCTGTCATTTTAAAGGAGAAACAGCTTTTTAATGTGAACAAATTGAAGTCAAGATCAGATTAAGACCTAACCCCAAAATACAGACCATATAATAATAAATAAATATTAGTTCATTATATTTGCACATTGCCAATACAAAAGTAAGCTTTGACCATTTTTTACTTTTCATATAAAAAGGAAATGCAAACACAACTCATAAGCTTGGAATATGTTTTTTTTTTCTTTAAAGAAATTAATATTTAATTTTTATATATAAAATTTTAAATTTTTATTTTTTCATCAAATAATCCTAAAATCTAGAAAAATGAAAAAAATGAACGAACACACACACACACACACACACACACACACACACACACACATATTAAGAAGCACATCTGTTTTCAAAATAACAAAAACAAACACATACTTGTCACAGAAAGACATTTAAATACTAGCAGGGACACCAATACACAAAGGAAAAATTGAAATCGCATCATATGACCCCTTTAAGAGTGACAAAGGGATATATGATACTGCACTGTAAAAATACTTATTTTGAACATTTTGTACTCAACCAATTTTGTTCAATAGACACATGAACTTGACATATGGGACAATACAGATGAATGAACCATTTGAACTCTCAGCCCAGTTCTTGTGAGTTTTCTTGGTTTCATGCCATAACTTTCAGCCCAGTTGCTTTTGCTGTTTCGCCTTCATTTTAAAGAGTGCATTAAATATGAGAGGGTTATGATACTAAACCTAAGGCTCTATCAAAATACAAAGTTTGAATCTTTTTACTGATATTTTTTTTCATAAGTTAAGTTCAAAATTTGTTAAATTATATCACAGTTTATGATACCGAAAATGACAGAGAATCAGCATTGTATAGACACAATGCTATAGATAGCATCATGTTATTGAAGCATCACACGGAATAGAAAGTGTCAGTAAGTCAAGTAGGTGGATTTAACCTTGTGAGAGCATGTGTGAGGTTTATAAGTACCGGTATGTGTTGTGCTCTCACTTGTGCCGAAAAGTCATGTCAGCTTGACAGTAGGGCTGTGCGATTTGGGGGAAAATATCAAATTGTGATTTTTTTTTGACAGATATTGCGATTTGATTTGCGATTTTAAATTTGCAAAGTCAAGCTTCAGCTCAATATTGTCAATAATGTGCAGCACAGTATGGGTATCATTACCCTACTGAAAAAAAACAATAGAAACCATCACAGAAATTCTTATAGTTTCCATTAAACCATTACAAAATTCCTTTTTGTTTTGGGCATTATTCCAATAGGAATTACTGTTGTTCTATTGGTTGCCATCTGCCAGATTACATCCCACCAATAGAATCCATCAAATACTAGTAGACACCATTATAGTTTACATTAAAACCAATACAATTCCCATTATAACGCTGAAATCCATTAAATGTTTTATTGTGTTTTGGGAGGGGTTCTACTGTGTGAGTGCGGCAAGCATGAACGGCTTGTCCGTGACGTGCGATTCGCGCCGCGTGTATGAGAAGCATTCACAGACACGGGCTGTGTGTGCGCTCTTCTGAATTGGGAATAGCCAACATGCATTATAAACTTATTTCAAATTAATCTGCGGAGGTGCGCTTACTCTTGCCCAGAGCAAGTAAGACTGCAACTCAAGGCTGGCAGTCATGCATATGCTCAGGAACAGAGTAATATCGCGTCCACATCGCAAGCTTTGCGATTAGCAAATCGCAACGTCTCAAATCGCGATTCGATTCGATTTCGATTAATCGCACAGCCCTACTTGACAGTGGTTTGAGAATCATGCCACTAATGTTTTGACCCACGTCAAAATCCATGTGTGTGTTTGTTCTTTGACCTTTGATCACGCATTCCTCTGTATTTGTCCATCCTGCTTTTGGAGGCCCCCCAATGCTACATATTTTAGACGTCCTCCATTACATACGATTGTTTAGATGAAAGGGAATGTTGTGGCAAATAAAAAAACAATTCCGAATAAGAGACAAATATACCAATTGTCTTTGAGTTTTATTTTCTTGCAAGAAAAGGCCAGCAGTCATACAGTCACTCAGAGTGGCTGCAGAGTGTGACAGTGAAGGGAGGGCGTCCTTCCTCTCTTACAGTCTCATCTCTCAGAATGTTATCTCTCTAGGCCAATGATGGTATTTTCAACCACATTCTTAGACTTGCTTATCATATTCTGTCCTTGGGTGGAGGCCGTCCTGTCACGTACCAACACCCTTTTACCATTCCATTACAATTCCATATTAGAATAAGGATTGTGTGTGCTCTTTTACTGTCACACACATCTTAAAGGGGTCATCGGATGCAAAATTCACTTTTGTTGTTGTTTGAACATAAATGTGTGTTAGCAGTGTGTGTACACATCCACCCTATAATGATAAAAATCCACCCAGTGTTTTTTTTTTTTTTTTTTTTTTT